CTCAAAAAATTATCTTGATCGAGCACGAATCTCGAGGCAGAAATCAAGCTGAAAACTTCAAAAATTAAATTCGAGACCACATGAACTCTGATTTTAGCAAATTTTTAGTCAAATTGAGCATCTCAAAAATGCAAACTCAACGACACCAAATTCGACTCAATCCGAGCCCAAATGAGTCCAAATCAAAGACTCGAAGCATTGTTGGAAAGTTTGTACCACAATTTGTATTACCAAACAATTTCCAAACATACTGTGCTTATAATCAAATTGAGCGACTCGACGAGACAAATCCAACGAGCCCAAGATCGCTAAATTCTGACCTCATTAAGACCTTCAAATGTCTGACGAACGATCAATAATCAAGGTATTCAATATCAGCCATCCATCCAACCACTTCTCATTTACCCTTGATCTCTCACCTATTTATAGGTCATGCCACTCCATAAATCTATAAATAGACCCATCATTTCTCTTGAAGGGGGACCAGAGCAAGATGAGAAGAAGGAAAAAGATAAGGAAGAGAAGGAATAAGCTCCTCCTCGATCACCGTCGGACCACCACTGGAGGCCCTCACCTCCGCCAGACTACCACTTGAGGCCCTCATCTCCTCCGGACCACCGCCTGACATTGTTGCTCCGTCGTACCTCCACTTGAGGCCTCACCTTCATCAGACCATCGCTTGACGTCATTGCTCCACCCGACTACCACTTGAGGCACTCACCTCTGCTGGACCACCGCCTAATGTCGTTGCTCCGTCGGACCACTACTTGAGGCTCTCACCTCCACCGGACCACCATCTGACGTCGTTGCTTTGCCATACCACCACCTGAGGCCTTCGCCTTCGCCGGACCACCACTTGAGGCCCTCACCTCCGCCGGACCACCGTCTGACATCTTTGCTCCGCCAGACCACTTCCTTAGGCCCGGACTTCCGTCGGACCACCACTTGAGGCCCCGAGTTCCACTAGGACACAACTTGATGCCCGGAGTTCTACCGGACCACCACCTGAGTCCCGGACTTCTACCGTGCCACCACATGATGCCCAGAGTTCTACCAGAGTACCGCCCTACTACAATGCTCTTTCTGACCCTGATTTCTGGCCAAATACGTTCTTTCAGACCCCAATCTCCTGCCGACTATGATCCTTTCAACCTACGTCGCCTATTATGGTCCTTTCGACCTCCATCAATAGACAACGGTCTTTCTGACCCTTGTCTCCTACTGACCACGGTCCTTCCGACCTCCGTCGCCTACTATGGCCCTTCCGACCTCCATTAACAGACAACGATCTTTCTAACCCCTATCTCCTGCCAACAACTGTCCTTCCGACCACCATTGCCTACTATGATCCTTCCAACCTCCATCACAAGATAACAGTCTTTCCGGCCTCCATCCTGTCGACTATGGTCGTGCTGACCGAACAAACATGTCTATATCGTAACTCTCACCATATAATGCCCTCTATATGATGTAAATTTGTAACATCAAGCCAATACCTTCTCCCTAAGAAGGGCCTCATTTGTAATCTACTGCAAATACTAGTGGATTCATTTAAACTGGGCTAGGCCCTGTGGTTTTTCCCTCTTTTAGGGAGTTTTCCACGTAAAAACTCTGGCGTCTCTTATGAATGCTACACCCTCTCACTTATCTGATTGTGTGTTGGATCTTTGTACAATGTTAAGACTTTAAACTATATATTTTTCTATTGCCGCGAATACTCCATGACACAACAAGTTACTTCATCAATTTTTTTTACATTGCTATTCCCTAAATCTAATTTCATAGAAATAAATAAATTTAACAATTAAAATGATCCTCTTATCCTCCAACTCTCTACGAATGATCAGAATAATCTCCTATTATTTAAAAATCCTATTTTAATTAATTTGTTCATAAAAGGATAAATTTGATCTTTCAATAGATACTTTATATAATTGGATAATATTTTTATTCGTCAAGAAATTTAGGAGACCAATTCTATCATTTTTTTAATAAATATAACGAAACTATGTTGATATTATTTTGCTTATATATAATTAACAAATCATAATTTTAGACTTTCTTTGGATTGACTTTTTTAAGGTTTCTTAAAATTGTTTTCAAATATAAAAATTAAACTTTTTTACAAAAAAAAAAAAATCTTAAAAATATTAAATAAGCAGACAAGTCTTAGCCTTCATTTGAGATAACTTTTTTATTATTTCATAAAATAATTTTTTAATATAAAAATTTTAATTATTTTAAGAAGTAATAAAAAGGTCGCCCCAAATGAGAGAAATTATTCTATGTGGAGGTCGGATTCATCTCTACGACGGGAGGTAAGTCAGGTGCAGCCACATCAACGATACCGAACTATTATACTGAATAAAAGAATAATGTAGCACATTCTGATTGATCTCCCAAATCTTACGCATATGTTCATTTCAAACATTATGATAGAAGATAAAAATCACTTCAATATCAGCCTGACACGAATGTGCACATAATATTTTGTTTTGAAAACAAAGCCTTAGTTAATAATTACAACACGTAATAATCTCCATCTCCATGTAGCTGCAATCATTATATTTTCGTGCGGACTTGAACGGGGCCACGAATTAACAAATACAATTAGCTTATCCGAAAAACCCACTTTGATTGCAGCTATCTGTTCACACATGCCTGCTTCGGCTCAATCGCGACCGCTCATTTGACCCCTGGCCCCACCCGCCTTGTCAAACGCGGAAGGGAAACTTCCTCGTAATAGCACCCAACAAACTAAAATTAGATTATTAACCTCAACCGGGTCTGCTATGCAACAAAAGTTGGGGGTATTGTTGAGCTTATTTGTTATAATCATCTATTTGGATTTGAATTTAGCTTCTAGTGTTTCTTAAATTAAAAAAAAAAAAAATAATATTTGGTTGATTTGAATTCAATTTTATTTGTGAATTAAGCTAATTCGTGAGTCAACATAGGCTCGGCTATATAAATAACTCGTGAGCCTAACTCGATAAACTAACCAGTCAGGCTACTCCCGACCTCAACTTGAGCTCGGCTTGGACTCATTTAAACTCCTCTTATTAATAAATATCATAAAAAATTACAATCACTTTCTTATATTACACTTTCTTATGGAACTTAGGTGTATGGGTATGGCTCACTTGAGTTCTACTATTCTATGAAGATTTGATTGAACCTATTGGAGTTTGAATCATGGAGTTCAATTGACAAATTGAACTCAAACTTTAAAGGTTTAGATGAATTTCATTAGAAGCTTTTGGTTCAATATTTTAATAGCTTCAATTTTTTTATGATTTATCTAAGAAAAATAAAACATTAAAAAAGTTGCTCTAAATAAATCATAAGGATTGTTTCGCAACAGGATTTATAGTGGATTTAGCGTAAATCCTGCCAAATAGGATTTTGACTAGGCATAAATCTCACATCGGAGTAAATCTACGATCACCAACTTTTTGAAGTAAATTCCGAATTTACTAAATCCGAGATTTTGGCGGATTTAGAGGATTTGGCCGAAGAAGTGCGCGGAAGGGAGAAAATTGTTACCTTCGCAACGGGGAGCTCCCTCCATCGTCGTCGTTACTTATGATCTAATAGAATAATGACGAGTTGTTGTGACTTCTTATCCGAAAGGAAGATGAGTCGTCAAAGGAGGCGAAGAAGTTTTTTAACGGCTCGTTTAAAACTCTTTCCTCTCACACGAAGTGCAAGTGAAGTTGAACTATGGGAGAAGAGGAAAAGCAAACTTAGGCCTACTGGTAATGCGAGACAAGAGAGAAATTCTTCAACGATAGGGTTAATTAATTTAATTCAACTAGTTTAATTAAAATTAATAAAAAATATAATGCAATTAATACATAAATAGTAATTAAAATTAATATAATTATCTTTGTTAATATAATTTAAAATATAAATAATTAATTATTTAGTTAATAGTAAAGATAATAATTAAATAATTAACGAGTAGTAGAATACTTAAGTGATTAATGTGATAATTATAATATAATTAAAAATTGAATCAAATTTAATAAAACTTAAATAACAAAGTAAATTATTAATATGAGTATAAATTAAATAATTAATTATTTTCATGATTTGGACCCATTTGGGCTCGGATTGGGTTGATCTTGGTGTCGTTGGGTTCGTATTTCCGAGACGCTCAGTTTGACTGTAAGCTCGCTGAAAACGGAGTTCGGGTGCTCCCAGAATTAATTTTTGAAGTTTCCAACTAGCTTTTGCCTCGAGATTCGTGCCCGATCAAGCTAATTTTGCATGACGTATTAAGTAATACTATAATTAGTAATTAAATTATTAGTAAATTATTTGATCTACGCTATCTTTTAATAATATTATTTATCATCATAAATTATTGATGGTAATTAAAATTATAATTAATAAATAATTAATATTTAACACGTAAATTAAATTCAAAATACAATCAATTTAATTTTTAAATGAACTAACCGTCTTAAATCCTAGATTATTTTACAAAATAGTTTCGTGGGATTTAATAGGATTTAACTATCTTGCCATACAATTTTCAGTATTTAACAACTCCAAGATTTACTTAATTCGAATTTACATGATTTACTAAATCCCATAAAGTTAAACACTACGTGTTGCCAACCAGACCCTAAGTTTATGCTTAAACGGAATTGATTAGAACTTCGTTTGGGATAACTTTTTAATTGCTTTCTAAAAATTCTAATTCAAGACAATTTTTTATAAAAAAATGCTTAAAATTTTCTAGAAAAAACGGTCGTAATGCTTCATTTGGAATAACATTTTTATTGCTTTATGAAACATTTCTCTAATACAAAAATTTCAAATTCATAAAAATTTGATACTAAAAAATTGCTTTATAACAGAGTAAAAAGCTTTTCCAAACGGCGCCTACCACTCTGTTCCAGATATTTTTGGTTAAAGATAGAAGCACTATCATAAAAGCCCAGTCTTAGGTACTCCCTGTCCCCTTCCTCCTCACTGCCCAAGCGAATAGCTAATCCGTCCAAGGAACCATCTTAGATCTTTCTTCCCCCTTCTTCCCTTCGAATTCAGAGAAAAGTGAAGAGATGAAGAAGGCGGAAACGGCAGCAGAGGAGGAAGAATACATGGCTATTCGTAGAGCAGTGAAAGGGCTCCACTTTGGCCGGTGGGAGGAGAAGGAGGCTGCGGCGGCGACCATAAGGGATTTGGCGAAGAGAGATGCGAGCAAAAAGAGAGCTTTGGCGGAGCTCGGTGTCATTCCGTCGCTCGTCTCCATGCTTGTGGAGGCTAAGGACGGCGGCGCTTGCCGGAGTTTGGCTTCGGAGGCTCTGGTTGAGCTCGCCAATGGCTCCTTCACGTATGTGTGCGCTTTATTTTGCATAAATTAGAGTATCGATTCATGGAAAATATACATGCTTGATTTTCTTGGTCTATTTTGAGCATTTCATGGGCTTCATGGGCTATTTGATCTGAAATTAGTAGTTTTTGAGAAATTATTTTGTGCGGAGGCAGTACACAGCTCTATATCCAGGGGCAAATCAGGTGTAGCCACGTTAGTGGTATCGAGCCGTGATACCGAGCAGTACAAAATCGTGGTACAACAAGTGATAACATGACATATTCTGATTGAACTACGGACGTTCACACAGAATAATTAATTATAATTTTTTAGTGAAAAATTTTATGCTCAGATCAGTACACTATGACACCAAAGAATTACACTAATCTCAACACAAAATCAACGGATATAAAGCCAATTCTAATATAATTTATATCAAGACATTTTTTTTCATTGTTAATTTATATGGATGGAAGAGTAGTTAATTACTAATTAGGATGGTAATTATTTACTTAATTGCATAAGAAATGTAATTATTAGGAGATGGCCATTTTCCAAATTTAATTGCCAGTTAATCACTAGAAAAATAATTTTAAAAATGATTAAAGTTATATTTTCGATTAAAATATTCTGACATAATTATTCTTCATATAAATAAGATATATATTAAGAAAATGCTTTCTTAAAGTATTAAAATGTAGCTCATTATTGCAGTTTTTACTTTTTAGTGCAATAAAGTGTTTATAGGGAATAAAAATATTTTTCCTAAATTTAGAGGATATAATTTCAGCAACATTTATGATTAGAACTTAGAAGATAATTTATATGCAAATTTTTTTTTTTTAAATCTCATTATATCTTAATTCCTTAATTCAAAATAAATTTAATAATACTTTCAACTTTATCTTAAATTTTTTATAGGTTATTTTTATAATTTTAATGCAACTATGCCAAATCTTTTGAAGTGCTGAATGATTTAAAGGGTGAGCCTTCACAATCAAACAAAAGTCTTATAGGCCATAAAGTCTTCCTGCAAGTATTCAACTTTTGACTATTTTGCCTTCACTCTTCCTGCTCTTCTTGCTCTCATTTGACCATTAGATTCTTTTATGAAATAGTTATAATAGAAAGAAAACATAAGTCTTTCATTAAAAATATATACAGAATCTAATGATATCAATCAGCAGCTTATCCTCACATACAGATTTGCTTTAGATTTTGTGGTGTGAATTTAGGGGGTGTGAACATGGCTTAATGGGTCGAGTTTGGGTCTGAATCGAAATTGATCTGATTTAATTCTAGTCGGCGTGTTTAATAAATTGGTAAAAAATATGGATCTGAATCCAATCCGCTTCCAAAGCAGATGACCCAAACTCGGCCTGATTATTCATTTTGATTTATTTTTTTTATATATGGTTTAGGGTATAGATTTTAGGTTAATTAAAGGGAAAAAAAGAGTATACATAGAAACAAACACTTTAAGGAAAAAAAAATAAATGGCTTATTTTTTAGGTCAAAAGCGGGTTCACGGGTCTACACAACTCAGGTCAATTCGAACTTGAATTTTTCGGGTCATATGAACAAATTAGACCATTTATCGACACCCGTTATTATTTAATTCATGGCTTGAAAAATATAACTTATTGCACAACATAAACTCTCATGAAATAAATGAGATTGATTTGGCCATTTCTACTATGCAGTAGATTTATGAAGAACATGAACTGTAAATAGGATAAATTTATTTTACAACTTTAATAATATAAAAGGCTTTTTATCATATTAGATATTTATTAGAGTACCATATATAATTTTTTTAGAAAATTAGAAAACCTTTTGTTAGAGTTTGTGAACTGAATTATATTGGATTTAGGTCAAAATGTTTATTATGCGATATATGTGATGCAATTTAGGGTCTATTGCGTGCAGAGTCAGAACGCAACTTTTCGTCCGGACTCCGCACATAATATTTTTTTTTTCTATTTGAGGCAACTGTAGTGTTTATAAAGTTGGTAAGAAAGTTGCTATGAGAAAATTAACTTAGTTATTCTTGTTGCAAAAAAGAAAACTTTCAATCAAACAAATTTCTAAAATGTTGTGAGAATACACCAAGAAAATAATAGTCAAATGAAATTATGGTTTTGTCTGAAAAGTAATGTGACAAAAAATCTATCCCCAAATTGAGGAGTGATTATTACATGCGGAGTTCAAACTTAGAGAATCGTTCGGTTTTGTGAATGTAAACAGTAAAAGCACAATGGTGAACAATAACTGTGTTTTTACTATACACAGCCACAAAATCGAACGATTCTCTGCGTCCAAACTCCGCACGTAATAATCTCTCCAAATTGAGATATGTGGTGGTGAAGAGATTTGATGGAATCTCGGATTATTTTTACATATATTTATGTACATATAAATAGAAATTTGTGATTATGCTTTGCATGAATTATCACTATTTTTTGTACCAATTTTAGACATACTAAATTCTTCTCCTTTCTCATATTTTGTTAACCATTAGCATTTTACTATTTTGCTTGATTTTATATTTTTTGTTAAAATTAATCATTGATGATTATATATTTGAAAATAAATTTATATAATAGAGGGATTAAATTAGAAAAATATAATATTTTTCCCTCATGAGACTAATCGAAGAATTATTGTGATATTTTTCCCTTATGTTAAACAACATGGCTTCAATTCTCTTCTTATAGGAACAAAGTCCTAATGGTAGATTCCGGCCTCCTCACAAAACTTCCCCAACTCCATTCAAAAACAAACCTTTCAACCATACAGTCACTGACTCCTCTCCTCCACTCCATCTCCTCCCTCGCCAAAGCTCAATTTCCCATCAACTCCCTCCCCATCCTCTCCTTCCTCCTCCCCCTCCTCCGCTCTCCCTCGCCGCCCACCGACACCACAACCCTCACCTCCACCACCACCACTCTCTACAATCTCTCCACTCAACTCGACAACTCCAAATCCATCATCTCCGCCGGCGCAGTGCACCTCCTACTCAACCTCTGCTTCCTCCAAACCAAAGCGACAGAACCCGGCCTCGCAACTCTAGCAAACCTTGCACTCACCGAAGAAGGAAAGAGAGCCATTGAAGAAGACTCATTAGTCCCCGAAGTGTTGGTGGCTGTCATGGCAAGAGACGAGGAGCCAAAGTGTCAGGAGCTGGCGGCTTATCTATTGATGGTTGTTGCGAGAAGGAGTGTGGAGAAGAGGAGGAGAATGGTGGAGGTGGGGGTTGTTGAAATGTTAATGGAGGTTGGGCTGATAGGGAGAAGCAGGCTGGTGAGGGAAAGAGCGATTCGTATGCTTGGGTGGCTTAAGGATGGGAGGAATGGAGAGATGGAGGAGGAAGGATATGTGAAGAGTTGCAGAAGAGAGATTAGGTGTATGGTGAAGCAGAGCCTTGATAGGAATATGGAGAGTATATTGAGGAGAGGTGGGGGGAAGAAGAAGAAGAATACGAAGAATTGTTCTGATTTGAAGCTTTTTGTTGCTGACTAAGAATTCGTTTGGGACGGCTTTTTTATTGCTTTCTAAAACGGAGTTTTAGTACAAAAATAAAAAAATTTGTATAAAAAAGCTGTCCCAAACGAAGCCTAAGACTTTGTATGGACGGCTTTCTTACTGTTTCATAAAGCAGCTTTCTAGTAATAAAAAACTGCTTTAAAAAGCAATAAGAAAGTCATGTCAAACTAAGGCTTCGTTTGAGAAGGCTTTCTTACTGCTTCTTAAAGCGACTTTTTAGTACAAACATTTTAATTTTTGTACTAAAATGCCACTTTAAAAAGCAAGAAAAAAGACGTCCCAAATGAAGCCTAAGTCTTTGATTTCATTTGGGTCGGCTTTATTTCTGCTTCTTAAAGCAACTTCTTTAGAAAGTTGTTTTAAGAATCAATAAAAAAGTCGTCCCAAACATAGCCTAAGTTATCTTAGAGAGATGTATATTTACTTTTTCTCTTCATGTCTTTCACTGTCATGTATTAGAGCAGGTATTTATTAGTGTACATCAATGGTTTGTTGAGTTTTAACAGTCATGTTCAGTGAATAATACCTCAGTGCCATTAACTATTGACAAAAGAGTTGAGTCAAGAGCTTACTCAGCTTAGAAACAAGATGTGAAAAGGAAACAATCAAGATTCTCAGGCAAATAATTGCACCTACTTTGTGATAGATTATGAGTAAGAATTTTAAGCTTAAACAAATCCTTTTTCTGTCTGTTAAAGATTACAGATATCCGAGTTAAACCACTAGTTATTGTAGCCGGGCAGTTGTTGTAGTGCTCTCAATCTTTAAAAGATTTATTTCTTTCTTCTTCTATGCTAGACCATAAGTATTTTATTAACTTGATGATGATTTTCTGAATTGTTCACTTATTATTGACATTGTTGTTGTGCTAATTTTGAATCCAACATAATACATTGTTGCTTAACAATCCTATCGATATGAAAAATAGCCCTGTCCTCAAGGTTGAGAGATGGAAAAGAAGCAAAGAGAGCTTTCACACGTAACCATTGGTACCAAGTAGTCGTAGATCCTTCAAGATGAAAGGAAGCTATTCTGACACGATGATAATTGGGAGTGTTGTGCCTCTGCTTTAAAGGTCCATTTTTCGACCTTGGTTCCTTTAAAAAGAAGAAACTCAATTTTTATTTATTTAAGAAAAGAGAAATTTGTAAGAGAAGAAATCATAGATGTCAAAGAAAGAGGAAGGATCTTGATAGAGTGGAGGAGGTGGGCGGTTAATACACAAACTATCAAATTTCTTATCAATAGAATGCCTAAAAGAATGGGATTGTTGAAGTGATGAGCCAATGGAGGCAAATTGAACATTGGCTTGTCGTAGAGAATTTTTTTAATTTCAAAGAATTATAATTCTTAATTTGTTTTGCATTGTTCGGAGAGCTTCTGCCAAATCTGCATTTTTCATGTTGATATGTCTGAAAGGGAAGAAAAGATGTAATTCTTGATAACAAGAACCGTTGACCTGATAGAATCTTGAAAGAAGAAAGGGTAAATTGCGAGAATCGGTCTAATTTTGGAAGGAGAATCAAGATCTTGAAAGCTTTGGCGATGAGATTAGTGAAAGGTCTTCAATGGAGACCGATCATCACCTGCGACCTGCAAGAGAAGCAAGGAGAAGAGAATGTACTGGAGAAAGGTATACTTTGTATCTCGAAGGTAAAGTGTTACATAGCAGGTGTATATATTGTAAATATGTAATCAAGTATGTGTAAGGGTATCCGTTAGCCACAGGCGGCATAGCAGAGGAAGTGGGAAAGTGATGTGCTGAGCTAGTTGGTCTCATTTAGTTAGGTAATGCCTGCGGTATATATTATATGGTCTAACATCCCCCCTCAAATTAGGCATGGATTGATCGAAGGCCTAATTTGGAACGCAGCTCCTGAAATCGAGAGCCGGATAATGGTTTGGTCAGGAGATCGGCGGGTTGATCCTCAGAGTGAATGTGATGAAGAGAGATTTCTGCATTGTTGATATGCTGCCGGATGAATTGATAATCAATTTCAATATGTTTGGTCCGGGCATGAAAGACCGGATTGTGGGCAATGGCCATGGCTGATGTATTATCACAGTATAGAGGGGTTGGCATGGAGGGAGCTAGCTGAAAATCAGTGAGTAGTCGTCGTAACCAAATGATATCTGAGGTGGCCGAAGATAGTGATCTGTATTCAGCTTCGGTAGAAGACTTGGCAACGGTAATTTGTTTCTTAACAGACCAGGAAATTGGAGTCATGCCCAAAAAGGTGCAAAAGCCTGTAGTAGATTTTCGGTCGGAGGAGTCGCCAGCCCAGTCAGCGTCAGAGTAAGAGCGAAGTTGAAGATCAGCGCAGGAGAGTGGCAAACCGAACTGAAGCGTTCCATTAATGTAGCGTAAAAGACGCTTTAAGGCCAGATAGTCGGCTGTGGTAGGGCTGTGCATATGTTGACAGACTCTGTGGGCAGCATATGCAATATCGGGTCGTGTAATTGTCAGATAGTTGAGACTCCCAGCAAGTTGCCTATAGTGATGAGGGTCGGAAAATGGAAGACCAGAATCGGAGCTTGTAGGCTGCTTCAAGCTGATGGGGGTGTTAACAGGTTTGCTGTGGTGAAGGTTTGCCGCATGAACGAGTTCAGTGGCGTACTGGGTTTGATGCAGAAATGTGCCAGCAGCTGTGGTAGTAACTTGGATACCGAGAAAGTTGGAGACTAAGCCCAACTGTTTAAGAGGAAAATGTTGTTTGAGCAGTTGTAGAAGTTGTTGAATGGTGTCTGAGTGACTCCCGGTAATGAGTAGATCATCAACATAGATGAGAAGGTATATCTGAACTTGGCCTTTGCAATAGACGAGCAGAGACGGATCGGCCTTACTGAAGCCGAAACCAAAGGAGGAAAGAACCGCAGTGAATTTGTTGTACCATTCTCGAGGAGCTTGCTTGAGGCCATAGATGGCCTTGTGCAGTTTGCAAACCATTGAAGGATGCTCACGGTCCACAAAGCCAGGGGGTTGAAGCATGTAAACATCATCATGAAGATCTCCATGCAGGAAAGCATTGGAGATGTCGAATTGTAGAGTTTGCCAGCCGCGGTGATGAGCAAGAAGAAGCATGAGGCGTATAGTAGGCATTTTGGCAACGGGACTGAATGTCTCGTTGTAATTGATGCCAAGTTCTTGTTTGAAACCTTGAGCAACCAGTCGAGCTTTGTATCGCTCTACCTGACCGTGAGCATCGTATTTTGTTTTAAAAGTCCACCGACAGCCTAGTACCTTACCATGAGGAGGAGGTGGAGTCAGTGACCAGGTGCCCTTTGATTGAAGAGCCAGGAATTCTTCAGACATGGCAGCCCTCCAGTGAGGTATTTGAAGGGCCTGAGTGTAGGATGTAGGAGTGGAATCGGCCTTTAGGGAGGTTAAGAGGTTGAAGATTGGTTTGGGTCGATGAATGCCAGACTTGAGACGAGTCTGCATAGGATGAGTAGGAGGTGGAATAGCTTGCATTTGATTTATGTTAGGATCTAGATCAGTGGAAGAGTCCGAAATGGACTGTGACGGAGAGGTGTTCGAAGTAGAGAGAGGTGTCTTTGGGGATACAGAGGAGAGATTAGGTGAGGTAGTAGGAAGGTTGGATGAAGGTAAAATGGAGGTAGGAAGAAGGAGGTATGGAGTGCGTGAGGTGGTGTTTGATTGTGTTGGAGATGATGAAGAAGCATCGGTTTTGTGTGGAAAAACAGATTCATGAAAGATGACATGACGAGAGATATGGACTTGTTTGGTAATGGGATTGAAACATCGATATCCTTTGTGTATGGTAGAATAGCCAATGAATATACATTCGTTAGAACGTGGTTGGAGTTTGGAAGAGGTTCTTGGTTTGAGCCACGGGAAACAGAGACAGCCAAAAGTTTTCAAATAATTGTAGGTAGGCTGCCGATTGTGAAGAATATAGTAGGGAGAGTGATTGTCACACACTTTGGTAGGAAGCCGATTGATGAGGTAATTAGAAGTTAATAGAGCATCGGCCCAGAAATTGTGTGGGAGGTGAGCTTCATGAAGAAGCGCACGGGTGGTATCAAGAAGATGACGATGTTTCCGCTCGGCAACTCCATTTTGTTCAGGTGTATAGGGGCAGCTAAATTGATGCGTAATGCCGTGATTTGCGAGATAATTGTTGAAAAGTTGGCCGGTGTATTCACCACCACCATCCGAGCGTAGAGTAGTTATATTAGAATTGAAAGCATTTTGAATGAGTTTATGTAAGTGTTGGAATTTTGAGAGAGTTTCATCCTTAGTGGTCATTAAGTAGAGCCATGAAAAGCGAGCCGCTTTCGAGGTTGGATAAAGAGTTTCGGACAAAGGTGAGATTCTTGTTTTGAAAATATGTTCTTCACATTTCCATCTGTTATTGGCACCCTCTCTCTCTCTTGTGTTGCTCTCTTCCGGGCGTGGCTCTGTCTCGCAATATAAGCTCCTCGCATTCTTGCTTCTCATTTCTTATTTTTAATACTTACCTGCTCTTCCGTGGCCTTCCACCTCTGCTGGTGTTGTATTTGGTGGAAGTAAATAGGGAGAAGTGGAGTTTTCTTGCTAGCAATGTTATATTCATATAAAACTTAATACATTGATAATATATTCTATACGCACATCTTAAAAAAAAAAAAAAAACTCAAAAATGATTAAAAGAAAAGATTCAACAGCCCCTTTAGGTTTTTCAGGCAATTTTACATGTTAGATAATCGACCTAAGTTGTTCAATCCTATTGACCATTAGAAATCTCACGGGAACCCTAGTTCAAACTTACTAGAGTAGTGAAGCGACAATGATAATCTTGCAACTCTGTAGTTTTAGTGCCCGACCTTCGATCCTCATATTATAGGTCAGGATGGAGTTCAAACAACACCATTTTTGTAGCTCATTCTCTTTTGGTACCCAAAACGAATTGTCATCTTCATTAGCTTTAGTGATTAGTGGTGATTGCGCGCGTCCTTCCTCCCTCTGTAGGTTATCCTTACTGTATCTTAAATAAAGCCACTAAAAATTGTATATAAGAATCTACACTCTCCTTTTGTAACTTGATCTGCTCTCTCACCTTCTTTTGTTGACTGCATGACCAACACTCATCAGTCTAACATTTGCCTTCTCCCATGCTTACTCTTTTCTCTTCTGCAGGAGCCAACCATCTTTGCCATTAGAGTTTGTTCTGCTTCCTCTCACCTTCTTGGAATTGGATTCATTCATCAAAAGAGGCTCTTGTCATCCAAGAGATGAGTGCCGGTGCACTTCTAATTTATTACTGTTATTCAGTTTGTGTTCATTTTTCTGGTTACTTGAGGCCTTGCTTTAGATTTTGCACTGCAAGTTGAAATTTTGCAGGTGATGAACACTGGTAAAGTAAAAACTTGAGCAGCTTAAAAAAAAAAAAAACCTTAGCAGTTCTGAAAACAAAATTTTGATCAATGTTAGGACACTTGTATTTTCCCAATTGTGAATTTAGTTGAGAACTGGTGTGATGCAGCTAGAAGTCTTGTGTATTAATACACTGAGATCTTATACTTGGCCCATTATTTGTTTGAGCTCAGGAGAGAGATTTCCCCCCCCTGGATTTATTTTATTTTGCCAACGAAAAATGGCATCGGAAGCAGATGTCCATGTGCAAACTTCACATTTGCCTTATTTATGCAAACAAACAAAATCAAGTAGAACTCAACAGTCAAATCACACCTTAGTGAATCAATGAGGTGGAGCATCACTCTTTAGGGTACTGCACTCCTGGAACAGTGTACAATATTCTTGGATGGAAGGCTATCTTTTGGTTTGAGTAAGACTAGAGTGAAATAAAGCGGTTGTCCTTTTTTTTTTTCTCTTTAATTTTTTTGTTCTTTCTGAGAATAACAAGTAAAATAAAGAAAGAGAAAAATATGTTAAAAACAAGCTTATAAGACCTTCCCTATAGCACATATTGAGGACCTCTCATCCTTTGGTTGCCTTATGTCCAAAATTTCTTACTTTAAGTGCTTGGTTTCTGTATACGTCAATGTCTTGAAGTGTATTTGCAAAATATAGGAGGTTTTTTTTTTTGTGTTTAAGTGGTAACATCAGTAAATAGTAAGGATATTTTTTATGTAATTTGTACATGATCTAAATATATATGTTGAACTCACTTGTGCTTTCCCATGAAAAATATATTTGATCATATGGTCAACTAAGTTGAAATAAATCTAACTGTTCAAACCCTCATTTTTTTTCGAATTCTGTTTTCAAATACTTCTAACCCACATAGTGGGATAAAAGCTTAATGTTATTGTTATTATTGTTGTTGTTGTTGTTTTTCAAATATTGCATTTGAAACCCAACACCTAAGAAGGTTGAAAGATGTGATGTCACATAAATGCGGCATTTATTTATTTTCTTGATTTTCTTACTAAGTTCCACTATCAAGTATCAACAACAACATCAAGCCTTTATCCCACTACGCAAGATCAACTACATGAATCTTTTTTCTCCATTGTATCATGTTAAGAGTTAGATTTTCATTTACATATAATAATAAAGGTCATTTCTAATACTTTCTAACCAAGTCTTTTTAGGCCCACCCCTACTTTTATTAACATAGGTCAAATCTAATACATATACTCTTCTTACTGGGTCACGAAAGGTCGACGTTTTATATGATCAAACCATCTATGGTGACTATTTCTAATCTTATTTGCCACTGGATATATATATATATATATATGATTATTTTATTTTCATGTATATACTTGTTTATTATTCCGTCCCAAATAGTGAAGCCACTCATCGACTTGAGCATTCTCATCTCTGCAACACTTAACTTAATTTTATGCTTCTCTTTTAATGACTACTATTCTGTACGATAAAGCATTGTAGGTCTCACCACCATCATATACAAATTTTCCTTAAGTTTGAGGGGTACTTTTCTATCACATAACGGGCCCAATGCATTCCTCCACTTCAACCATCCAACTTGAATTCTACTAATAATATCCCCATATATTTCATTATCACTTCGAACAATATATATGAAATATCTAAAATATGTACTCTTTTTAATGCCTTGATCTTACCCAGTTCCACCAAATAACTAAAAGTAGGTTCATCTTGGATCTCCACTTAAATGTTAATTGAATTACTATATGATTGCTTATATTTTTAGCAAAGTTGTGAGTTCCTCTTTGTCATTCTAGTGCTTATGCAATCTATATCATTGAGAACGATGGTGCAGATTTCTGACTGACCATACTATTTGTTTAGATATGTTTTATTTGGATTGATGTTATGGCTAAGTTTCCCTAAAAATCTCGTGAATCCGCAAATTATTAATTCTAGACCACCACATACTAATAATGAATGCACCTATTTGGTTTCTAAAAGAATTCCTGTTTAAGCAGGTGGTGCTTTTGGTGGAAATAGAGGAGCACAACCTGTACCGCCCGAAAAAGGCATTTTTCCCTTGGATCATCTCCATGAGTGTGATGTGGTAGATTTTTTTTTTTAGTAATTTCCCCTTTTCTGATTTTGTATTACTATATTAATTATATCTCTTAGATCCATTTAGTTTATTAAAATAACATTTCAGAGCAAGTTTTTATTTCAGAATATTATGCTTGAGCAGGAGAAAAAGGATTATATTGCCTGCCTCAAGTCTTCTGTATACCAGTCAGAAAAATGCAGGCATTTGTCAAAGAAATACTTGCAGTGTCGAATGGAAAGGTTTGTTTACATCCTCTTCTTGCATCTGATTTCCAAATCAAGTTATATTGATATTGCAAGTATTCAACGAAAAGCACAGACTATAATATGCCTAGCCATTTACATACTTCCTGAACCTAGCATACAATGGCTAATTAGAATTTTGAGGCTTCGTTTGGGACGGCTTTCTTCCTGCTTTTTAAAACAACTTTTTATTATAAAAATTAAAAATTTTGTACTAGAAAACAATTTTAAGAAGCAGCAAGAAAGCCACCCCAAACGAAGCCCAAGTAAGCAGCAATGAACAAATTTTACCGTAAATCTCACTAAGTGTACCCCAATTGAATCGAGTAAAATGCCCATCAATGCTAGTCTACATTGTGAAGTAGTGCTCAACCCCAGTTAATAAGGTTTTTCTTATATAGTGATGGACTAAGTTTGGATCACATATAGGGTCTGAGGGTTTAGGGTAGTGATTTGGGGGGTGGGGCACTTTGCTGATATAGTAATTGTAGGAGAATTTGAAGGTTAAACTGTAATGTTGTTCATAGCTAAATAAGGGTTTTTTTAGAACTGTTCCAACACTGCTAGCTAACAATCTCTCCCCATTCTCTCCCTATTTCCATCACTGTTATGAAACCAAATGTTTATAGCTTTGGGATTAGAGGTCACTGCTGGGCGCCTTGCATGTTCTATGCTATTTCAATTAGGATATAATTTACTACTAAGTTATTCTAAATGTAGAGTGAAATATTTAGAGTTTAGCTGGTATTAAAATAAATTCAAAGTATTTATTTGATGGATTTTAAATACCTCCAAAGATACAATTTTTTGTTGAATTTAGAATTCGCCCAAATAGGGTAAATTTTAGATTCGTTAACTCGTGATCTCGCATCCTCGCAACATTGTTCGTGCTCGCACTTTCGAACTTGACAGTGTCCCCATACTTATGAACTCATGTCCTGCCACCCCATACTTGTAGCCTTCACTCGCTCCTTTTGGCTCTCTTCGTTCCCACATTGTTGCCGAGCCCTCTGACATCATTGATGGTGTCAACACCATGCTTGCGTCTCATGCGCTAAATTTGTTATTTCTTTAAAGAATATATTAATACAAAAGTTTAAAACCAGTTTACTTAAAAAAAAAAAAAGATTTCTTAAATTTATTTTATAACCATTCAAACAATTTTGAGCATTCTAATAGCATTCTAATAACATAATATTAATTTAGTGAGCATTTAGAATGCTCAAATATTCTAATTAACCCTAAGAAAAATCTAGAATTTACCTTCTAGCTTTTTAAAGATGAAATAGACTATGAACATATGAAAGTGTTCTATATAACTATTTGTGAAGATGTATATGCTGCTTCTAAATAGTTTAGGTGAAGAAAACGCCACATATAGTAAGTCTGTTTGTGCTTGCTTGCTTGCTTTTGAAAAAGGCTCCAATATGAGCTCTGGCCTTATGATAGAGCGCTGGTATCCTGTAACTGGTTATGTGGAGAGAGTTGGGAGTGTGTGAGGATCAATTTGTTGCTGCGAATTGTTTGTTTTTCTTTCTTAGCCTTAGCCTGATTGTTTGATACTTCTGAACTTATCTGTTTTTTATGCTTCTATATCTCCCTTATACAAGTATTTCATATGTTCAGTTGATGCAGCTTTTAGGTTTCGTTTGGGAAGGGTTTCTTATTGTTTCTTAAAACAGATTTTTGATACAGAAAGCTGTTTAAAAAGCTGTAAAAAAGCTGTCCTTAAAGAAACCTTAATGATCAAAATGGTTATTAGATATTTTTAGCTCCATCTGTTTGATACTTCTGAACTTTATCTCAGATTTTCTGTAGTTGTTCAATTTAGTTGCTTAACTCACTAAATCTATTTCAGTTTATTCCTATCATTAATTTTGTTATTTCTTTTAAATGAAAATTGGTGGAAGGAAGCTTTTTAGAGAGAGTATTTTGAATTTCTTAGGATAGATCTCACTAAGGTTTCGTTTGGAACGGCTTTCTTGCTGCTTCTTAAAGCACCTCTTTAGTACAAAAATTAAAATATTATCACAAAAATTTTAATTTTTTACTAAAAAGTTGCTAAAAGCCGTCCAAAACGAAGCTTGAATATCGACTCAAATTAATGAGTTTGACCTTTAGAAGTCTGAAATATCATTATGAAAGTTCCCTTCCATCATTTTTCATTAAAAATTAGATAAAATTGACTATTTGTTCAAATTAATTCAGATTTAGTGAATTGGTCGATTAAATTGAGATTAAAAGGACCAGTTATAAATCTGTAAATTATTTTGCTTATTTATTTAATGATGTCTGAAATCTCTTATTTCCTCCAGAAACCTGATGGCCAAACAAGATCTGTCTGAGCTTGGGTTTGACGAATAAAAAGAAAGTTACAATGGACAAATTGATGATAAAGGTATCGTTTGGGACAGCTTTTTTATTGCTTTTAAAAACAAATTTTTAATTAAAAATTTTGTTGAATTAAAGTTTTTTATAATTTTAGAAGCAGTAAGAAAGTTGTTCCTAATGATACTTCTAAGAGGAATTCTGTACTTGTGGATTGCCTGTAGATCAGTTTCTACTGCATTTCCTGGAGCTGCAGTGGAGGTGAATGCACAAGGAATTGAAACATTTTCATTTTTTTTGCTGATAATAATACATCATGAGCCCGGAATGTAACGATGGAGAAATTATTAGATGCGAATACTCTATGCGCTGGCAACGAGTCAAGTGGAATACACAATTGTGTACTCCACATGATTTGTTGTCAGCACGAAAGTATTTGTATCTAATAATTCGCCATCAACCATAAGTGTTTGTACTTAATAATTTCTTCTAAGGATATAGATTTTGTTGTAAATTTCAATTGAAATTCTTGTATAAGGTCACTAACCTTGTTGTTTGAGTTGGTAGAAGAGCACAATATTGTATTAACTATTGTTTTGGAAGTAATTATCATACAAAAATTTAAATTTTTAATAAAAATTGATTTAAAAATAAAAAAGAAAGTCGCCCCAAACAAATCTTTAGTGGGACCAGCATGACAACTAGCACTAGTAATGTTGGCCCCACATTGGATTTGCTCATATTTATTGTTTGAGTTGATAGAAGAGCACAATATTGTATTAACTATTGTTTTGGAAGTAATTATCATACAAAAATTTAAATTTTTAATAAAAATTGATTTAAAAATAAAAAAGAAAGTCGCCCCAAACAAATCTTTAGTGGGACCAGCATGACAACTAGCTCTAGTAATGTTGGCCCCACGTTGGATTTGCTCATATTTATTATATTTAAATTTATTTTAGAGCACTTTTTTTTTTGGTGGGAACATGGGTATTTACCTGCTTCCATTCCAACAGAGCGTTTAGCAGTGTAACTAATTCCTCGGCGGAATCTTGCACGGTCATCTACCGGCATCGGTCTCACATTTGTTTTGCCCACTAAAGGAAGGATGATGTCCATTCCAACAGAGCGTTTAGCAGTGTATCTAATCCCTCGGCGGAATCTAGCATGGTCATCCACCGACATAGGGCTCACATTTGTTTTGCCCACTGAAGAAAGGAGGACATAGTAGAGGGGGGATTCGAATCCCGGATGAGAGGTTCCCAACCGATACAACACCTATTGAAAATTATTTCAAATAATCTATAAAAAAGTTATATATATATAATTTCTGGTCAGCCTAGCTCGTGTATTGACATGTTAATCATAATTATCTTCACGTGCGCAAATCTTAAAGAAACTCCAAGAAAATCGGACGATTAAACGAAAGTTTCTCTCCCTCTTAACGAATATTCAGGCCCAAGCTCGTGCTCGAAACCCTGCGTGCATTTTCTTTTTATTCTCTCTGCTTATCTTCTCCTTCGCGCTTCAATTCTGGTGCCAGAAGATCGGACGAAGGCCTTCTTTCCTTCGTTCGTTCTAATCGGCCTTCTTCTTCCGATCTTTACCCCATATCGACTGCAGTTTCCGTCTTCGATCGAGCTGTTTGATTGAGTTTTCTTGCAAATAGTGCGATTGCTGGTGTCGGAAGATCGGCGGGAGGTCTTCCTTTCTTCACTTTTTTCCCAATCGGTCTGCTTCTTCATGTGTTTTTCTCAAATCGATTGTAGTTTCCGCGTTCGGTCGAGCTGTTTGGTTGAGTTTATTGACAAATAGTGCTATTGCTTCCTTGCTGGAGATGCAGGATCAGAAGTCATTTTTTCGTTAATACTACATGGTAACAAACTGCTTTTCAACTAATCTGTTCCTAATATTAAAATCCATACTATTATAAATAATTGAGTTTGATTCAGTTCATTAGAGATAAGGTGTAGATAATGCTCGTATTCATTGGCTATTCGCATTTAAATTGGGTAATTTTGTTCCATGCTATTGAAGTTTTCTGCCAAGGGGTGGTGCTTGAAGATTCTATTAAGTGTCTGCTTATCTACATGATTTTTTTTTTAAAAAAAATTAGATTTAGTAAAACTACAGAGGATTAGAAGATGAAAACTGTTTGGCATGACAAATTTTTAGTCTTGCTATATGCTGATAAATTGTTTGGCTATTTGTTTTAGGATTTAAGATTTATAGGGAGAATCCTTAAATCAGTTAAATTTTGTGAATGATAGGATTTAACAACTCTTGGATTTAATCAGTATTGATGCTTAATGGGATTTGTTAAACATCCTCTTTGCTAAATCTTGTTAAAATTTTTTTGTTCGACATGATTTAAGTTAAATCTTGCTAAAATCCTGCCTAAAATAGGACACTAAATATCCCCTAAGCTTGAGGAGCAATTCCAAAGTATTAAGAATCAAAGCTGGTCTTTTAGACTTTTTAAGCTTGAGGAGCAATTCTAGAGACTTAGGAAGCAAGTGACTAATTTTTAAGCTATGAATAACTATCATTCCTTTTCAACTTTTGATTTACATGGCGATCTGGAACAATTCATTTTGTTTGAGAAGGTATACCTTCTCTCATAGTATTGGCCCGCAAGGGTCAATTGGGAATTTACCTATAAAATGATTATGTAAAATAGCTTCAAAACTGGACTTATATATGTTCTTGTTTTGTGATAAGCAACGTAGATGTGATGCCCACAATCCATGCAAATATGTGAGATTTCTATTATCTTTTTCTGTTTGCATTATTGTGCCTATATGTGGATGTGCTATATATTGTTGTCTTATATTCGTTTGGTTGTATAAATTTGTACATGAATTAGAATTTTTTTCAAAATCAAATTGTACGAAGAGGTAACTAGTTTTTTGATTAAAAAAATTGATGACGCCATTACTTGGCTCGTTCTCATTTGGTGATGGAGATGCTACATATATTTTGTTTTGCATAAATTAACATACTCATACTAGGTGAAGAGCATGTAAAAACATTTTTGATAACCAAGTGTCTGATTATGTTCCAGATGTGTAGTTGATGTCGAGGCTTAGATATGGATGCCTTAGGCTACTTTGAAATAATAATTATGATTTTGGTGGTGTCCGTTTAGATAATTGAAAATCTTAGTGCAAAAAAAGCCTATAAAAGTGATGCAAATTGGTGAAAACCAACATACACATAAAGAAGATAAAGGCAAAAAACGGGAATTTGGAACTTTCTATTGCAGAGATAATCTTTTGGTAACAAAATACAGTATCCGTCGCTATTTGGTTGTGGCTTCTTATCCCACTAACCACTACAAACAAACAAGAAAAATAACTAAAAATTAATGAGTGAAATAGTAAAAACTTATTATAATTTCAACTAAGACAATAAATAAATTAATAGAGAGACAATTTTATGAGCCGCGGGATCAACTACATTAGCTTTCCTCCCGCTTCATAAGAACTCCACTCGAGTTTGGTGAGCTACATTTGGCCATCATCTCGTCGTTGATAAGTGTAGAGATCATCAACTTTGAAGATGGAAGAGTTGTTTTAAATCTGATTGAGGCGAAATAACATAGGCATTATCATTGATGCTTTTAGCAACGAGGGCAAGTGCCGTTGATTTGATTCGATCGAATTGAGCCAAAATGGCAAGTGCCCTCCCCAACCTCCCCTCCCTCGAGGGGAGGGGCATCGAAAGGCTGTCGGATTTTCAAGGGGGGTAAAAACTTTTTTAAATTTAATTAAGTCACTCAAATAACAGGTTACACACAATTTGAAGGCTCGAAGACTATCTCCGGGGTCGATTCACTTCCCCAAACTACTTGCCATTGATTTGATTTGATCGAGTCGAGCCAAAGGGGCAAGTGCCCTCCCCAATCCCCCCTTGCAGAATATCCCCTCGCGGGGAGGGGACGCCGAAATGTTGCCGAAATTAAAAAAGAAAAACTAATGGATCCTCACATAATTGATTAAAAGTGAAATTTTATGAATTTTTAAAAAAATGATCCGACTTGATTTGAAATCAACTGAATGTGTTACATTCAAATCGAGCTTTTCGTTAGGTTCTCGCATTCAAATAAATAGTAAAATTACTCGGGCCACTTTCAAATCATAAATGATGGTAATTATATGGACAAATCATAGACAAAGACAACCTGTTGGACAACTCGATCAAGATATTTATGGAATTATAATTTATGGAGATATCACTTGATGAAAAGTCTTAATAGATGATACTATATACAATGATGAATTTGGGAAAGTCTATATTAGTTCAAAGCCAATCTTTTGTATATTTCAATTTAAGAGGGATATCTGATAATGAGCATCTTTCTTGAAGAAATGTATACATCAATCAATGCAAAGAGACTTTTGTTGATTTGAAGATTGATGAATGTATACCTAGCATCTTGAATGGTGAATGTTCGAATTCTAGCAGTCTAGCACATTTGTTCCATTTCATGATTCTCTAAAGTTTTCCAATCATATTTTAAAAGATTCAACGTTGAAGAGAAGTTGTATTTGACATTGATTAAAGAGTGAATAATTGATGTTCCAAAATGCTATCACCATTAATAAGAAAATTCGATTTGGTATAAGTTAATTAGCATCTCTTACTAGCAGTTGTGATCTTTTTATAAATAGGTCTGCACAAGATGAAAGAAATGTAAAGATTGCTATTGAATCAGGTTGACAATGTATATTTACAAGATTATATGGTGCAATTAACTTAGGTTGCAATGATAGAAAGAAAAGGAACTTATAGGTTTGGTGGTAAATAACAATATTATCAATGATCACTTATGGGCCATGAGACACCCTTAATATATGAACACAAAATCAATGTGTGATGAACACGATGACTCGCCAACAAACAAGCATAAAAAAATTAATGATGAATGCAGCCCATTCGACAGTTAATATTGATATGCAAGTGAATACACTAAATTTACATGTAAACAATATCAATTAATCTGCTAAGATTATGTCGCTTGCAAGTGTACATAGGACTTTTATAGCAAATATGACAGCCTACGCAGATCTTCTACAAGGATGAGCGAGAAGATTACAATGAAGTGCGACACACTGCCTGTAAACAAAAGAAACAAGTGACCTGTGGTGCAGCACAATGCCACCGGATCAACACCATTTATACAAGCGGACAGAAGGCTATATCTTTATAATAACTCCAATCTATATGTTGTAAATATACCCTGCATGTGCTCTGACAAATGTGTTAAAGTTATAAACACAAATGTTTGATAATGCTGCGTGGGGTCAAATTCTCACTAATATAAAATTCTATTTTTAAACTAAACACAACCCGCATGTGCTCCGATCGTCACATATAATTTCTAAATCTAATGGTTCGAGAATGCTCCGCAGGTCAAGTATTCAAGTTTCATCCTCCTCCTCGAAAGGATCTAAGTTGACATGACTTGAATTGAAAGATGCCTCCTGAATTCCGATAATAATACAGTGACTTTAAAGTCATCCCGATGATGGCCGTATTGAATGCAAATATCAACCAAAGGGGTCAAATATCAAATCCAACAAAAGTCTAAATTCCTAAAATGAAATCTATCACTTAAAAATTTGAAACTAAAACTCATTCACCTTCCGCAATCGTTTGTCGGGGGTGATTTTTTTGAAATTAACTTCAGCTCACAAAGAACAAATGTCGTTCGGGTGTAGTACTAAGGTTTATCCTCAAATAGTCTATCGTTAGCAAGGACGTGGCACATATTCTCTGATCGGGTGGTTTTGTCGCAAAATGACATCATTATATTACGATCATGGCCAAAGCTCGTATGTTCCCTAAAGGCTTCAAACCATTGAGTAATGAATTATATGATATATTCGATAGGCATGAAGCTCTCTGTCAGTTAAGGTGGATTCTGATCAATCCCCTTAGACAAATACCAACCCAGGTCTACAAGGTATTCTTAGACGAAGCAACCCATGACTGTCGATAAGGTACCTTCTGTCAGGTTGGGTCAACTACATCCTCTAACTAAGTAGACCAAGGAACATGACAACCCAGGACGACAGAACCATGAGATCTTGATCGAGCTCGTCCTCATTCCCCCCATCAACAGTTTTTAAGTTTACGGTGATAAATTTTAAATTTCAAACTCCAAAATTCATATACAAAGTTCAAACTCTAAAACTGTTGCTATTATACGCTAGATTTATAACCTATGCTACCTCTTTAATAACTATCCTTAATCGAAAGTTCTATTTTATTGTCAAGAGGGGTAATTAATTATAGGGGCTTGCGCCTATAAGAAACCATAACTCAGATCATAAAGTCATCATAAAATGATGGCGAAATCTCTGGGTAGTGTCTTATCTAAAACCCAATATGCATTTTGAAAATTCACCTAGAATCTAAGCTCGTTAAAACTTTAACACTCCACAATACCTCTTAACAGTACTAAAAGTATTACTAACATAAAAATAACATTTTCATCAATCAATCATATGATACCTTTGAACATTTGAAATCATTTATAAAAATCCAATAGTTTTCATTCATCACATAAACGGAAGCACTTAATAACTTTAACTTCAATAAGACATACTTATAGAGCCTCTTAGAAATCCAAAATATAATTCAAAGTGAGACATTATAGAACTGCCTACATACCTCCACTGAAAACTCACAAACATTTTAATTACTAAAAAATAACATAGAAGAACTTCCAACTCAACAACTTTATCCATTTCTTTACTTGTAACAATAACCAATATAAAAATAACTGGTGAGCTATGAAGCTTAATAAGCTAAGCATACAGAAATAATAATGAAATTGCATATAAAGATTACAAGATTGAAATCATAAAGTCAACCAAATTTAGAAAATCTCATATATTGAAACATGATATCAACCATTTTCTTCAACTTTATACTATATTGATTATCAACTTTAAACTTTTATAAGATTGACTTTACTTTCATAAACAAACATATTCAATGGAGCCCAAATAAAATTGGCATTATCGTCATTGAACTAAGGAGAGATCCCTTTTGTAGTTTTGTCTCTCTAGGGGTCCATTTTGTCCCATCTACAATACCTGTTTAATATTGGGTCCATTTTGCCCACCTGATATTGTAAATATCATATCCACTTAACTGTTGTCTGCTCATGTTGAGTATCCATGTCTCCTATGTGCCTCTATGACGCTCCCTGGTGTTCTGCTTATTGAGCAAAATTAGGAGCTTTTACTGGTCTCTATTTCAACTTCCTTGTTGCTTAATTCTGACTAGTACAATTTTAACTTAATTCCTCTCTCATATTTCTTCCATGCTTGTATCTTATTTTCCTGTCTTGATTGTGACGTTTACTTTTTTACTTTTTTTTAAAAAAACTTTTTTTTTTCCAAGGTTAATTTCATTAACCCAGAAATGACATTTCATTGCAGGTGCCTTTTGTGGTCTATAAAATGTATTACATAGGATACACATGTAGAAAGTTTTGATTACTTTAGGTAAGCGTGACAAGTGAACTTGTGTTCTGGCTTGTTTAGATTCACTGAAAAAATGGAGGATGAGAACGGGCTTGAGCTAAGCTTAGGTCTTTCATTTGGCGGATCGTCCTCCAAGCTTAATGTTAAAGATGCACCTTCTGATCCTAAAGGTGAAGAAACAAGTTCTAGTAGGCTCGTGGGAAACAATGTGACCATCTCCGATGACTTGTTTAAAAAAGTTTTTAAATCAGGTTTAGAGACCCAAGAACCTACAGGGAAACTGAAGAGTGATTTCATTACCCAACCTCAAGAGAACTTCTTTACAGACCTTGCTAAATCCTCTACACCTGTGACCGATTGTTCTAATGACACAAGAAATAATCTGGCTCAGTTCACAAGTTATCAAGAGCAGTTGATATCAAGTAATAAAACTTTTGAAACTGAAGAGGAGAAATCAGGTTCCAGCAAACGGAAGTTGCCCTTTGAGGATATAAAATTTCAAAACAAGCAAGAAATATTGTTTGATTATGCGGAAAAGCAGGATGCGAATAAGTCTTCTATAGCTCCTTTCCTGAGAAACTCACATGTTTCAAATACCGCAGAAGACGGGTCTACTGGTGAAAATGAAATTGTGGCAGAGTCAGAAGCAGAAGGTCCGCAGACATGGTTGGTTTCACAGAGAGATGAAAATGCAAAATGCTCTGACACTTTAAAGTTCAATGTTAAAAGTATTCTAAGTGAATCAGGCGGCATCGGCTCCCAAGGTCTGAGAGAGCCATGCTTATCAGGGAAGGAATCTAACCCTGAATATGGAAAACCTACTTCTGGGATTCCATTGTCTCGTCAACCACTAAAATTCACGAACGTTCCTTATCCAGTTCCTACAGTGGCACCTTCTACCAGTACTGGATCAAATGCTGTACGTTTTCCTTCAGCATGTGTGATGCAGTTGATGCCAATTTCAAATGGCGAACGTCCGGTGGCCCCAACAGCAAATACTAACAGCATGCAAGTTTCTTTTGGTTATCCTTCTGCCCAGCTTCCAACATTGGAGACTGGTTCTTCCTGGGCATTTAATTATCAACCGCTACATATTTCTTCTTTTACTAGCAGAGAGCAGTCTACTGGAGTTCAAATCCAAGAACATTTTGAGAATGGAGCGAAGGCGTCTCAAGGTTAGCTTTATTAATAATGGGACTATTGATACTTTAATTGCAATCCATATTTTCCTCGTCACTTGACTATAATTCTAGTATATAGCTATCCAGCTTGAGGTGATTTTTATATTTTATATTTTCCAATCTACTTCTTATGATATGCTTAGGGAATTTTTTACTATCTTTTTGGATTGGTTTTCCATTTATTCAGTCCCGTTGATGATGCTTGGCTTGTTTTTTTTTGGAAATTAAGTTTAGTCTCTTGCATCTTGATACACCTTAATCATGTTGGAATGAGGCCTCTGCTTCTACTTTTGTGTACTTTGCTTAAATCTTCATTTAACCCATATATGTCTATTTTGCATTAATTGTCATTTAACCCATGTGGAAGGATTTTGACCCACGTATTTGTTTGAAGACCAATTTGAAAAAGCACAACGAGAATGGTGACCGCTTGGCATGGCATCGCGTGAAACAAGTTCGAAAGCTTGAAGTGCAATCGAAACCACTCAAATGTTGCATGCTAATGAAACAGACTGTGATAAAGCGTTCAGAGCATTGAAATCATCAACGAAAAACCCTCACAATTGATTCAATTGAATGCAATGAAAACATCATACTACGAATGTGTCATCGCATAGAAGTTGCCCGAACTTCACTCATTTGCAAAATTAATTGTGCAGACCCGTTTAGAACTTGTCTAATTTACCCAAAAGAACCTTGCATGCACCTCCATCAATCACATTGAAAACGAAGGGCTATGGACATGAATTAGCACAAAAGTTGCCCAAATGTCATCTATTCGGAAAATGGATTGTGACAATGCTTCCAAAATGTATAAATTACCTGAAAAGAACACCCATATTACCTCGGTTGTCGCAGAGATGTTCAATGTAAAATTTATTTGTGTGGGGTGGTGACAAGCAATTCGAGACATGCAAATGACAATTTTTGCAATGAGGAATGATACCTGCATTAAAATATAATAAATTAAGTTAATTAAACAAATAAAATAAAAAGTTAAATTGTGTTTGATTAAATACTTAAATATAATTACTATATAATAAAAATAAAATTACAAATTTTATTCAGATTAAATTAAATTAAATTAAATTTAATATAATAAAAAAACTAAATGAAATTTTAAGTCTAATTCCTCGAATACTGGTCCTATTAAAATTTTGAAAAATTTGGTTTAATACACTTTAGAGCTTCTTATTGCTCGTCTAATTCCTTCCTCATCCTGGTTTATAAAAAAATAAAATTGGAACCCCCCTCATTTTAAAAAAGCCCGCATCCTCTATTTTCTTCACCACTTGTTTCTCCCTGAACCTCTTGCCCTTTTCTCAAACATCCTGGCCAAACCCTTCTCTCCCAACTCCTCGATTTCGCACAAGCGCAGCTCCACGTCACCCTAGCTAGTGCCATTGCCATTGCCCCAAGCCACAACTGGCTGACTCCACTCTCTCTCTATGGCCCTCTCTCTCTTACTAACAATCTCCCTCTTAATCTTCTTCTCTTTCCACCATTCTATCCCTCATTGTCTCTCTCTACGCAAAAAGAAGTTTCTCACTATCCGACTCTTTCCAAACAGAGAAATTTCTCTTTACCCAACCTCCCTGTCCATCTCACTTCTCTATCTAGCTCTCTCTTCCTCCACTATTTCTAAATAGAGTGAAATTTCTCTCTACCCCTACCACTCTTCTCTCTTTCTCTCATGAGTTCTTCCTATCTCTCTATATGTATGTATAATATTAAAAAAAGAGAGAAAATAAAAAAAGAAAGAACAAGGAAAAAGAAAGGAAAAAAAAAATAATAATAATAAAAGAATGTGTTTTTGCTCTTGCAATCTTGCCGTCGCGCTGCCATTATTGTTTTGTGCAAAGGTGTATAATTTGAAAATCTCAAAATTAAATAGTGCCAATTAGATAAAAAATCAATAGTGATTGCGCGATATGCAATCGAACCGAGCCGTTCCAAAGAATCAGTGTTGGTTTGTCGCTTATTTGGATGAGTCAATAGTTCACATTGGTTTTGGTCAATTTGATGCAAAGATGGTTTTTCTGGTTGACTGTATCGACCAAATGACCGGTTCATGGTCCAATTGGTTAAACCGGCTAGTTCAATCTAATTCTTAATTTCTTGGTTTTAGCTTTAGTTTGAGGGAGAACAATCAGTGGCAGACCATCATCTATCTCCATAGTGGTAGGGGCAGACAATGTTGATTGGCTAGAAACTTCGACAAAGCATCAAGTTCTCGGATCTCACCTTTGACCATCGTCTACTCAATCTTCACTCCTTTTTAGAAGAGGCTCCTTTTTTGCGCTTATAAAAAGACTAGTGATAATATCATCTTTTGAGATATTAATTTTGTCCTTTGGAACCTCCATTTTTAAGAATGGTGAAAAGTTGCAACTTGCAATGATAAAAAACCTCCATTTATTTGTGTGATTCACGTACAGTTGTGGATTCAACACATGTTACCCATACAAGTTCTTATAGGGGGTGTGGCTACTATCTTACAATCAGTATTTATTCCGTGCAGACACTTGTGTCTCTCTTTTTGGTCGTGAGGGCTTTTGTCGTGGAAGGTCGTCATTTTTGTTCAAGACCTTGATGTATTTGAAATGCTGTGGACTAAGTTTGATCAGAAGTTGGATTTGTAACTTTCATCTGTCCTTATTTGATGTTCCTGATTAACTTTTGAGTTCTACTTTCTAGTTTTGGTGAGGAAATCTGAAAAGGCTGCACAACTAAGTTTGCCTCATAAGCATATTTCATTTAACTTTGCAATTTTGTATAATTGAAAAGCTTTTTCGGTTTATCCTTGGTGTATAAGATGAGGTCACTGTACTAACTAAAATGAAGACTTTTGTTATTATTATTATTTTCTGATGCACTTTGCTCGCAAGTTGAAGGGTGCAATGCAAACAAAGGCTTTGTTAGACCGGTCAAATGGACCGGTCCAACCGGTCCGCATGGTTGGTCCACACGGGACCGGCCCAGCGCAACAGAGGTGGAACTTCTCCCCCTCTTTTACATGCCGCGTGAGCCGCCAAAGCCAATGGAGCATTTTAGGAAGGAATTTTGAGGGATTTGGGAGGGAAATTTAAATGTAGGGACTGTTTAGGGATTTCCTTTTGATTTGTATGCATTTAATACTTTGTTTTCCTAGGGTTGGGCCATCTTGAATTTGTCTGATTTTGGGATCTCTTAGATCTAGGTTTTGGATTCGTCTAGAGATTGGGAGAGATCGATCCTCCTCTCGAATAGAGGTGCACTTGTATCTTGTTGTTTTCTTCCATTAGTTGATTTCTTACAACAAAATCTACAATTTTCCCTGATTTTTATTGGAGTTTGGAAGAGTTTCTCGATGATTTTCTGAAATTGATAGGATTTACTTGAAATCTTTAAATGTTTCCAATCAGGCTTCCACAATATATTTATTTTGATCAAATGAGCTAGTTAGAAGAAGAATTGCTTTTGTCTTTTCAGCATCATATTTATAAATATAGATAGAATCATCAATTATTGATAAAGAAGATACTTTTCATTTTAGACAACCGATGAATCTGAACATTCTATCCATGAATGCATTTACTATTGAGACATACCTTCATTTTTCTTTTCTTGGTATCATTTCAGGAGCCCCACCTCATCACATAGTAGCTTTTCCATATAATGCAAAGCCATCAGATTTATTGATTGGTAGTACTAAACATGCTGGAGAGACTGGCACATCGGTCCGATCCGAAGATCAAGGGAAGCCGAGAACCAATACCGTGCCGGCAAATGAAGCAATGAAAAAGCCGGCGACCGAAGGTTTTCCTCTTGAAGCACCAGCTATAATCAGACCAGGTATTGCTCCAAACCTGAGATTTGGAGGCTGCGGTTCGTACCCAGACCTTCCATGGGTTACAACCACTGGACAGGGACCAAATGGAAGAACCATATCAGGTGTTACCTACAAATACAACCAAAACCAATTAAAAATTGTCTGTGCTTGCCATGGATTCCACATGTCCCCTGAGGAGTTTGTTCAACATGCCAGTTCTGAGGTCCAGAATTCAGAAAATAACCCAAATTTGACAGAATTTCCCACCACCAACACAACAAAGTCAGCCCAGAGCTAACTTTTAATAAAGCTCCTGCAATTCAATTCATCTTATGAAGTTGCTGCAGTTGGTAACATTTCTGTGCCCTCTCCTTTTTCCGAGTAATTATTAGGTGTGGATACCGCACCTAGAGATGCCTCCGAATACTGCGTATTCTATGCTTAAGATCTGCCTACGTTATGCGTATTTACTGAGTATACACTACGTACTGCAGTAAATAAGCAACAAATATTTAATTGTGAGGATTTGCTGCTTATTTGTTGTGTATCTACAAATACACAGAATGTAAGCAGAACATACGTAGAATATAAGCAGAGCGTACGCAGAACGTACGCAGTGCATCCAATAATCCGGACACATCTCTGGGGCGGTGGCGGTGTCCGCACCTAATAATTACTCCCTTTTTCCTCTTTGTTCAGTATTTCATTTATAAACCGATCTCTTATTCACTTCATGTAATTTTTCAGCAGCTGTGAAGTGGAATGCTGAAGATGGATTATGAAGTAAGATGAAGCATTCTGTATGCAGGTTACTTAAATTCATTCTCTTGTAAATTTTCTTTATGTTTTAGGTTGTTTTTGCTTCTGGAACCTTCTTTCCATTCCTGTTATTAGAGTAGAAAATATAACAAACTCTTGATCTGCAGCCAGTTATTGTTGTCCATATGTGCATGTGAGATGCACTGAACCTCTTTGGCAAATTGTATCTGGTTACTTGCTTATTGAATCAAGTAAGTAAAGTCTTCAATAACTAATCATCTTCTCTGTTCTTAATTCTACTGTCTTATGTGCTTGAACTCCACTGTAGCAGAAGAAGGAAATTCCCCCCTTTTTTTTTTCTGGATCCTGACTTTTGGCCACTGTGGAGATTCTGTAATGTCTGATTTTTAGCCATGGGGATTATGGGAAATATTAAATATTGGATTATAAATAGGGCCATTGAGGTGTGCAAAAAATTATTTGATGCTTAGTGTAATTTCAGATAACAATCACCTTAATGTGATGAGATGCCTGATTGTAGACAAGAATGAGATAGATTATCGGATAAAGAAAAATATTTTTATCATTTATGTGATGTGTAATTTAAAAAATATTAGTCATAGATGAAAAAAGTGTAATGATGTCATAGGAACCTACACCATTATTAGGTATAATCTTAGAGAGATTATTACGTGTGGAGATCGGACGCAGAGAACCGTTCAGTTTTGTCTCTATGAATAATAAAAGCGCAGTGAAGCGCACAATAAAAGTGCAGTGGTGAACAATAAAAACGTAGTGCGATTCACTGCACTTTTAATATTCACAGAGACAAACCGGACGGTTCTCTGTGCCCGGTCTCCACACGTAATAATTTCTACTAATCTTTAGATCTTTTCACACCCAAAACTTTTTCATATTAGTTGGGTCAATCGCACCTCTCCTCATCATTTAAAGATATTTAGTTTGTATCAAGATTGGTTGTTATAAAGATCAAATTTAGTGCGAGTTCTTCTTTATGGATATTGCTCATTTCATACGGAAGATATTGGTTGTATGGTATTAGTGTTACTTATCATAGCTTAATAACAGCATTGTTACTCTTATCATAATACCTCATACTTATTGTGGCTTCTGTTTTTTTTTCCTTGTTTAATGATATTGCATTTGAAGAACTTTTTGATAAACTATCTTCTCATAGAATCATTCATTATGCCAATGACTTAGGTTTCATTTGGGGCAATTTTCTTGCTGCTTCTTAAAATAGTTTTATAATAAAAAATTTTAATTTTTATATTAAAAAATCATTTTGAGAAGCAGCAAGAAAGCCGTCTCAAACGAGGCCGTAGGCTTCATTTGAGATGATCTTCTTATTGCTTCTTAAAGTAATTTTTTAATAAAAAATAAAAATTTAGATGTTAGAAAGCTGCTTTAAAAAACAGTAAGACCGTCTTAAACGAAACCTTAAGTCTCTGATTCCTAGTTTTCCTACCTTCTCTACTATCAGATGCATCATGGTGAACATTCAAAGATTAAAAGATAAATTGAGAACTTATAAATGATTTTCTATAATAAAGTTTTAATCCTTTAATGACCGACAAAAACTAAGTCATAATCATATCAAATGGGTTGAGTTTTTTATAAGATTATTCTTTTATTCTCAAACAAAAATTGATAAAGGAAAATAAACTCATTGATCTCTATAACTTAAAATCCTGGATCTACATAATTATAAGATGACTATCTAATTTGTCCTGATTTTCATCTGATTTATTTGGAGCACTTCGATAAACTTTTGACCCTATGAAAAATATTTAATGTAATTGATGGATGTCTATATAGGAGAAATGGCTCGGTAATCTTAATTTTTTTAAAGAAATTTTTAATCTTTGAATTGCGAAGACATTTTAGATGATCTAAATGGCATGTCTAAAAATGGAGAAATTATTTTGTACGAACAACAAAACCGTCAGCTGGTACATAGTCACGGTATACAACAAAAAAGAAATGTGACGCCTTCTGATTTGCCTCTGAACAACATCCGTATCCGCATAGAATAATTTCTACTAAAAATGGGTGCCCCATGTCTAACCTATAAGCATGCCAAAGTCTCAAAACAAAAATTTGATTTACATGTTTTTGTTGCTCATTCCCTATGGGTTTTGGAAATATCTCTTGATGGATTTTGTTTAGGACTACCCCATGTAGCTCAAGGATATAATCACATCTTTATGATAATTGGTGGGTTTTCCAAGGCCTTGCTCCAAATTAACAAAGCTTCCTATATTGTTGAACTATTTTAAAAAAAAAAAATTTATAGGTTTACATAGCTTTTCATTGATCATTGTATCTAATTATGACGTTAAGTTTATTTTATATTATTAGAAGACTTTATAGAAATTATTTGAAATCACATTAAAATTCTCCTTTGCTTTTCATCCTCAAGCTGATGGACAAATTGAAGTAGTAAGCCAAATCTTAGAACCTTATTTTGATGCCTTGTTGGAAAAAATTTAGGAATTTGGGATTTATATTTACCTATATTTGAATCTGCATATAATAGTACCATCTCTAGAACAATTAAAAAATTTCTTATGAAATAATATATGGTTGAAATCCCAGCTGATTAATTGATGTAGCCAAGCTCCCTTCTCATGTATTAAGATACTAAATTACTTCAAGTAATGATAGTTATACTTCTTGAAAGTACGAGATGCGTCAGGGGGGGTATAATAAGATTATTCAATCGATATTATTTGTCATCATCAAAATCTCAGGCTATGAGTCATGAACTGCAACACTTCTAGGACAAATCATGATTGATTAATAAAAGAATTTTAAAAGGTGATTATATTTTGATTTGCATCTGCCTTAAGTGTTACTAGACTTATAAGTTTAAGAAATTACTTGCAAGGGCTTATGGCCATTGCAAAATAATAATAATAAAAAAGAATCTCATTCCTATCATATTGATTGCATCTTCATATGCTAATCATTTTTGTTATTACAATTGAAGATATTTTATCGAATGAAAGACTTAACAAACCTTCTAACTCTTTAACATGATATATAGTTCTTCACTTATAAAATTTCTAATTTTTAGAGTTTAATTATATCATTATTGAGGAAACATCCACTAAGCTACTTGTTGAGCATCAATTTTTTAGTTCTTTGAAAAAATAAACCACCTATTGATGATATATAATTGACCTATGTTGAGTTAGAGACTTTGGCCCATCATTAGTATAATACTATTTCAATTTTAATTCTAAGGAGTAGAGTTCAATTGTGCCAGAGGGAGTTGATATAGCTTACTGTATGAATTAAGATAGCTAAGTTAAACATCCAATTAAAAGAGCTAAAGCTAATCCTATAAAGAATATCAAAGAAAGACCCAACTATCCAAGCCAAATTAAGGGTCTAATAAAAAGCTCCTAATTTAAAATATTTTGAATGTAATTTATATTTTATTATTTAATATTTTACCTAAGAACTTATATGATTAGTCATGATATGAATTGGAATGAAGAAATTATTAAAAATATATGGTTGAAACTCCTCTCTATTAATGACCACAAAATCCTATTTTTCTCTCTATTTTCCCGCAAAAAGTGGTTGCCTAAGTCTTATGATGACTATAAATATTGGCTGATACATGATGTAATTTTTAGCTTGGAATGAGATATTTTCGTGGATATGTATTTTTATTTATTTGGTATTTGGTGGCTTTAAGTGTGTGCCTCTTTTTTTTTTTTGTGAGAATACATAGTTATTTTTTTAGTTATTCACTACTTATCTCTAACACCTACTCTAATACTTGGGCTTCATTCGATGAGGAACTAGAAGTCTTCTTCTCGACCTTCTCCTGTTTGAACTTACAAAGAAGCAACTTCTTCAATTTTTTGTCACTCACTTTGGCAAGCCTTGAAGGACTTATGTTGGCCATCTTAAGTGACTTAACAGCACATGCCCAAGATCTAGAGGAAAACAGTGTTGGTGTACCAGCACCCCCCACTGTCATTTATACTTGAATATAGCACAAAACATCAAATTGGATTATTAATAAAAAATCCTCACATATGTTGAACATATTAAGCAATAGTAATGGCAGGAAAGTAACAGTTAATCTCTTGTTATATTGTTTGGTTAAAAAAAATAAATGCTCATTCGTTTAAATTTACTTGTCCTTTTTATAACCCGTCTTTTGAAAAGAGCTGGTGAATTAGGGAACTAAACGTACATGCTTATGTGGACTACTCACAAGTATTTAGCATGTTCCAATCAAGGAACTTAATTAGGAGGGTCACGTGTTCAACACAACACTTGCTTGAATGGAGCATGGCCCCTTGGATTAGTGGTTAATGCTAGCCCATGGTCAAACAGTCACTCTACTTTACAAAGATTTCAGAGTGCAAACTCATCCTAAGAGAGTTGATCAACAATGTAGTCCTTCTTGACGATCTCCCTAGAAGGACTCGCTTAGACTTTTCCATGCCCATAGTATCAACACCTAAATCAAATTGGCTTATGCACATAAACTCTCACCGATCAAGCTCATTCGCATACTGCAGATATCCGTGATTAAGCTATAGGAATTACACACATTTGAAGCCCATGATTGCCATTTTGTTGGCTAGACTTGTCCTTAGCTTGCTACTATCATCTCTTAGGGGACTTTCCCTTCTCTCCTAGGGACTAGATGTTTGTTCTTGGGATCTTGTAACGACCCCAAGATCCGTGTAGCGAAAGGATTCATCTGATCGTTCTATTGCCCCCTTTTTTTTTTTCTTTCTATCGGTTTCCTCATCTATCAATCCATACATACATATACCCAGAGCCAGAAATAATTACATTACAGAAAAGAAACAGCAGCGGATACTATAATTCACATATAGTACAACAGTCACAGTACAGCCAAAAGAGAAATCTACACTAGCCGTACAGGCTACAAAAGAAAAAGCTACAGAACGCGGCAGAAAGATCTTCA